AGAAGGAAGTTACTCCAGAGGCTTCAACCACGCCAGGCAGGTCAGAATAACTGGCCCGTAGGTCTTCCAACGCTGAGATTCATGGGCTCCGTGCATTCATGAGCCAGGTCAGGAGAGGAGCTCCCAGTAGGACGGTGAGGGGACAGTGAAGACTAAGCCCAGTGGGCAGGTGACGCTGTAGAGATGAAGGGTCTGCTCGACACTGTTGGAAACAAAGTTCCTCCACGAGACGAGGAGGCCCTTGGGATTTGATCTCAGAAGGAGTCTCTAGTCCTACAGAGACGTGGCCAGACATTCCAGAGAGAGGGACAGAGCTGGCAGAGGTTCAGACGAAGAGAGGCACCATGTACACTGGGAGCACCCTTGACTTCAGCAGAGGTGGCTCAAGAGGAGCAAGAGAGGGTGGCGCCAGGCAGCACCAGTCAAGGTCCCAGGCGCGTTCCAAAGGGGACACAGAAGGGTTGTGATGGGGCATTCCATGGCCAGAGCTGAGCTTCAGTAATTTCAGCTGACGGCGCAGGCAGGATGGATCCGCACAAGTCAGTCCAGAGGCAGGACCCTGGAAAGATGTGCAAGCCCAGGGAATGAAGACGGCTGGAGAAGGCAGAGAAAGTGGTGTGGGTGGCAGGGAGGAGCTGGAGAGCTTTAGAGGTGAGATGCACTTGCACGCCGCCCCTCCACACCACTCCCCGCCTGCCCCAAGGTTCTGCTCTCATACCCGGGCCAGCAGAAGGACAGCTGGCACGGGCTCCGAGAAGCCGAAGCTCCTTCCCTGCTCGCTCACCCCACGCGTTAGGAGGCGGCCGGCGGCTGGGCGCTGGCTCCGCACGTCCTGCCTCCACCCGTCTCTAGGCAGTGATGCTAGGAGGGGCTGGTAGGCATGAGAAAGGTTTTCAGGGGTGGCGACTGTGACCGTGGCATAGCTGTCTGCGGGCACTTTACAGTTTGTCCAGTGCCTCCTTGCTTGTTGCTGCTCCACTTTCACCACAGCATCCTGCGGGACCTGCTACTCTTATCTCACGCTCAGACGAGAGAAAGGAGGTGGGAGAGGGGTGCTCGGGTCACGAGAAAGTGGGGCAGGTGTCTGACGCATATTCTACTGTCTCCAGAGCCAGCCTCGCTTCTAGATGCGGTGAAGTTCCCGACTACACCTGGTCAGTAAGGAGGGGCCGGAATTGAACCAGGGCCAAGACCACACTGCCTTCCCCACTGCCGCTACGCCCTCTCCGGGAGGACCTGCGCAGAGCAGCAGCCTCGCAGATTTCCCTGCAGGTTCCCTTCCTGTGGGGCTTCTCCTGGCTTGCCATCCCTGGCCTGTGACCCCCCCCCCGTGATCCTCCACCTCTTGCCTCAGTTACTACCTTGATCACGCTGCATTTTTCTAGACAAGGACAACAGTAGCCCACTCCTCAGAAAACAAGAGAAGGAAGAAGGAGGGGAGAGAAAACAAGAGTGAGAAAGCACAGAGAGAGAGAAGGAAAAGGAGAAAGGCCCTCCTACGCACAGGGAACTACATACGAGGACAATCACCCCCAGCCGCTGTTCAGCAAGCGCCCAAGCACGCTTCCCAGGCGGGCGCGCAGGCTTCGTGGAGTTAGTGATAGATGATGGCCGCCGCGTGCGGCTCATCATGACTCGGCCAGGTGATGCTCCCACCGGGGCCGTGATTTAGGGCCGTTCCTGGAGGCTCCAGCCTGCGCGGGCCAGTGCGGTCTGGGTTGCGTCTGGGGCGGAGGGCGCGGGCAGGGGGCGCGCACCCGCTTTCCCGGAACGGCCGGGAGGAGGCGTGCGCCCGCGCTCCAGGCGCGTCCCCAGCCTGGTGCAGAGGCCTTTCATCCAATGGAAAGATAATCTTGCAACATCTCACCACTAAGGTCAATCACAAAGAGAGAAATGATGACTTTGGGGCTGAGAAATCTGGAAGACACCACTTGATCCTCATAGCAACTCAGTGAGAGAGCTAGAACTCTGCCTGGTTCATGAAACCCCAACTATGGCCACTACTCCCTGGTGACCTCCACCACGTCATCCCTCTGTGCCGCAGGCTTCTCTTCTCTGAAATGACAATATTACTGGTTCTTACCCCAGGAGGGCCATAATGCAAAGTGGTACGCTAGCCCACATAAAACATTCAGGACTGGGCATGGCCCGGAGTAGACTCTCCTGGAGTGTTAGGTATTATAAATATTACGGAGGAGGAAATTCAACTCAGAGAGGTGGAAACAGGGCTCAAACCCACATTCACCAAACTCCAACTCCATATTGTCTCCCAGAAATCAACGAGTCCCAGTTGTCGGGCACCTGACAGTTTTCAAAGTGCTATTTCATTCACATTTCCCTTGCAAGTGGCAAAAGTCCAAAAGGTGAACAGGAGTTAGATTTCTCATTGGTCCCATTTTGCAGGTGAGGGAGGCCCTGGCCTCACAGAAAAAGACGGCACTAGTGAACGTACAAGAGGAGTTTGAGCCCATGTGTCTGACTCCAACTCCCTGGTTGCTTTCAGGGCCTGACCTTGGCTGCAGGGATTCCAGCCCCATTCCCACGGGTCCGTGATGTAGCCTCGGGACAGTGTGGAATTCAGAGAAGGCATCCGAAGCTGAGAGCCCTTGGTTCTGAACTTGAAATTTACAGTGAAAGCCCTGACATGCTTCTCCCCCTTCCAAACGCGCTACACCCCTGCATTCGGGCAGGCAAGAAAAGGGTCTGACAGGGAATCAGAGAGGTTTAAGAGCAAGGATTAGAGACGAGAATTGACATCAGCTAGTGAGCCTTCAAGGTCAGCTCAAGGACGTGTCAGACACAACTCAGGCAAGTAGGAGAAAGTGTTCCGGCTTTTGTCTCTACATTTGCCATTTGTCATACCCTCACTTTGTCATCAGGGATGGACTTAGCTAAAAGGGAAGTCAGGGTTAAATGACAGACCCTCCTCTGGGAAGGCCCTGTACGGAAACGTGCCCCTACTTCAATCCCCGAATCTCTCAGCTTCTTCAGTGCACAAGCAGCAGCTGTGGTCAACTCAGCACTTTTTGCCACAAAAAAAAAAAATGGTCTGAATGGAGACCTTCATCAACATAGGAAAGCAGAACTGAAGTTTATAATCACACCACGAGAAGATGAAAGCGTCTGATGCCACTTGGGTCAAAGGACCAATATGCACCACCCCCAGCCCACCTCAGCCCTGCCAGGACCATCTATACAGATTTAATCTCTTTCTCTTTCTCCTGCTCTCTGGGAAAACTAAACCTCATCTGTCTGCAGTTAGCAAAAGCCTGGAGTATCTGGATTCGCAGCTGGAACAAAAGATATATGTGACATTAACAGTTCATTGAGCTGTGAGATGAACAAGACGGGTGTTGAAAAGGCAGCCTGAGCTGAGAGTACATTTCCAGTGTTAATAAAGCTTCCCTTTTGTTGTATGTTTCCAAACACTGACTCCGGGATGGGCGCCATCCGTTTCCTTCTAGAATTAGACAGGCCTGCAGATTTAAGGCATCGAAGAGCATCATTCGGCCCTATTAATGGACAGCACAAGGTGCTGCGTCAGGAACTTGCCCCCGTCTTTAGCTCTGGCTGCAATTATTTTGCTGGCTTGGCAAAGTGCGTGCCTGCTATTCGCCCAGAGTTTGTGCACGGGGATGGCAGGGTGGTCTCCACCGGGAAGACCACCGAATTCCAGAACTCAGGCTTGTGAGCATGTGTACGAGAATGAGGACGCCTATCAAGGCAACTCCATCAGCGGTGCAAAAGTGGAAGCAGCCTATTTGCCTGACGACTGGGGACCGGTTAATCCACCCGTGCAAGAGGCACACGTCATGAAGTTCTACAGGGCCCTTAAAAAGCATGTTGTAGAAGTGTATGTGTTGAAATGGAAAGATATTCGTGATTTGTCACAAAGTATTTTAAAAAGCAACTATGTAACAGTATGTGTAACATGATCCCATTTGTATACTAAGTGTAATGATAAGGAAAGAGAATAGAGCTGTGGTCTAGCTCCTAGCAAGAGTGGGCTCTGCTACGTTGAAAGGTGTGGCCCATCTTGATGATTTTAGATGAGTGAGGATAGACCTTGGCTGCAGGTCCCCAGGAAAGACAAAGAGCTCTGCACAAACGAGAAGGGCGTGGAGCCTTTGGGGGGCATTCCAGGAGGAGACAGGTGAGGAGGCAGAGAGATGAAATAAGAGGACAGAAGACTGTTGTGAGTTGAGTTGTTCCTCCCCTGCCAAAGAAAAGGTCGACTGAAGTCCTAACCTCTGCTACCTGTGAACGTGACCTTATTTGGAAATAAGTTCTTTGCTGATGTCATCGAGATAAGATGACATTAGAATTAGTTAAGTCCTGATCCAATGTGACTGGTGTCCTTCTAAGAGGAGAGAGCAGAGACGCAGGGAGGAGAATGCCATATGGAGGCAGAGACGTGCAGGCCCGGAGGGAATGAGCATGTGGAGACGGAGACAGAGGGAGATAGACATTGGAGCGGGGCTGCCACAAGCCGAGGGACGCCTGGAGCTGCCAGAAGCCAAAAGCATTGAGGAGGGATTCCTCCCCCAGAAGCCCAGGAGGGAGCATGGCCCTGCCAATGCCTTGATTTTGTGCTTCCAGCATCCAGAACCATAGGAAAATAAATTTTGGCTGTTTTAAGCCACCCAGTTGTGACACCTGCCACAGCAGCCCTAGGAGTCTAGTGTAAGAACACAGCGAGACGGGGTGTGGCTGAGAGGGCTGCAGGGGTGCAAAGACCAGTGGACGGGGAGCAGCGAAAGAGCACTTTAAGGATGAGGATGACATGAAGCCATTTGAAAGTCTTGTGATAGAAACACCTCCCCCCCTCCCTCCCAGGAAGCTCTCAGAAGCCCTCAGGGGCCTTCAGACTCCGCCAAGGCCTACATTAGAGATGCTGTTTCCCTGGTGCAAGAACTGAGTACTGGAAAGTTTGAACAACTTGCCCTGGTCGAACAGACACCCGGATCCAAGGGAGCCCAGAGCCCACACTCACCGTCACGTGTGCTGGGCCAGCCGCCAGTCCAGCTGCTCCGGTGGCCCTGAAAAATGCGGGGCAGATGTCCCACATAACCATTCTGCGCCTTGTGCCATCGCCTGGGTCAACCAAACAGCAGCCAAAGAAAACAAAGGACTTTTTTCTGCCCATTCACAAAGCCACATGGGACCTCCTTTCCCAAGCTCCCACTTCCTCATGCAAATAGCAAATGGCCGAGGGCCTATAACCTTTCTTTCCCCTCCCCTGATTACACATGGTATTCATCCAGAAGGAAGTTACTCCAGAGGCTTCAACCACGCACAGGCAGGTCAGAATAACTGGCCCGTAGGTCCCTTCCAACGCTGAGATTCATGGGGCTCCGTGCATTCATGAGCCAGGTCAGGAGAGGAGCTGCCCAGTAGGACGTGTGAGGGGGACAGTGAAGACTAAGCCCAGTGGGCAGGTGACGCTGTAGAGATGAAGGGTCCCTGCTCGACACTGTTGGAAACAAAGTTCCCTCCACGAGACCGAGGAGGCCTCTTGGGATTTGATCTCAGAAGGGAGTCTCTAGTCCTACAGAGACGTGGGCCAGACATTCCAGAGAGAGGGAGCAGAGCTGGCAGAGGTTCAGACGAAGAGAGGCACCATGTACACGTGGGAGCAACCCTTGACTTCAGCAGAGGGTGGCTCAAGGAGGAGCAAGAGAGGGTGGCGCCAGGCAGCACCAGGTCAAGGTCCCAGGCGCTGTTCCAAAGGTGGACACAGAAGGGTTGTGATGGGGCATTCCATGGCCAGAGCTGAGCTTCAGTAATTTCAGGCTGACGGCGCAGGCAGGATGGATCGCACAAGTCAGTCCAGAGGCAGGGACCCTGGAAAGATGTGGCAAAGCCCAGGGAATGAAGACGGCTGGAGAAAGGGCAGAGAAAGTGGGTGTGGGTGGCAGGGAGGGAGCTGGGAGAGCTTTAGGAGGTGAGATGCACTTGCACGCCGCCCCCTCCACACCCACTCCCCGCCTGCCCCAAGGTTCCTGCGTCTCATACCCGGGCCCAGCAGAAGGACAGCTGGCACGGGCTCCGGAGAAGCCGAAGCTCCTTCCCCTGCTCGCTCACCCACGCGTTAGGAGGCGGCCGGCCGGGCTGGGCGCTGGGCTCCGCACGTCCTGCCTCCACCCGTCTCTAGGCAGTGATGCTTAGGAGGGGCTGGTAGGCATGAGAAAGGGTTTTCAGGGGTTGCGACTGTGACCGTGGCTATAGGCTGTCTGCGGGGCACTTTACAGTTTGTCCAGTGCCTCCTTGCTTGTTGCTTGCTCCACTGGTCACCGCGGCATCCTGCGGGACCTGCTACTCTTATCTCACGCTCAGACGAGAGAAAGGGGAGGTGGAGAGGGGTGCTCGGGTCACGAGAAAGTGGGGCAGGTGTCTGGACGCATATCTGACTGTCTCCAGAGCCCAGCCTCGCTTCTAGATGCGGTGAAGTTCCCGACTACACCTGGTCAGTAAAGGAGGGGCCGGGATTTGAACCAGGGCCCAAGACCACACTGCCTTCCCCCACCGCCTCTCCGGGAGGACCTGGCGCAGAGCAGCAGCCTCGCAGAGTTTCCCTGCAGGTTCCCTTCCCTGTGGGGCTTTCTCCTGGGCTTGCCATCCCTGTGCTCTGTGACCCCCCCTCCCTGTGAGTCCTCCACCCCTTGCCTCAGTTTACCTACCTTGATCACGCTGCATTTTTCTAGACAAGGACAACAGTAGCACCACTCCCTCCTAGAAAACAAAAGAAGAGAAGGAAGAAGGGAGGGAGAGAAAAACAAGAGTGAGGAAGAGCAAGAGAGAGAGAAGGAAAAAGGAGAAAGGCAGCCCTCCTACGCACAGGGAAACATACACACGAGGACAATCACTCCCCAGCCGCTGTTCAGCCAAGCGCTCCAAGCGGGCTTCCCCAGGCGCGGCGCGCAGGCTTCGTGGAGTTAGGTGATAGACGACGGCCGCCGCGTGCCGGCTCATCTATGACTCGGCCGGGTGATGCTCCCACCCGGGGCGGCTGCGCGATTTAGGGCCGTTCCTGAGGCTCCAGCTGGCGCGGGCCAGTGCGGTCTGGGGTTGCGTCTGGGGCGGAGGAGCGTGCGGGCAGGGAGGGCGCGGCACCCGCTTTCCGGAACGCGCCCGGGAGGGAGGCGTGCGGCCCCGCGCTCCAGGTCGGCGTCCCCAGCCTGGTGCGGAGGCCTCTCCATCCAAATGGAAAGATTTACACTCCCGCGTTTCTCGGTTCTGGACAGGTCACCGCCGCCTCAGTAATCAAAGATTTGCAAACACAGAGGCTCTTAGAGACGGAGCCAAGTGCAAAGAGACCCCCCCCCATTCCCCGATGAATTGAGGAATCACATATTCCCTCCGCAAATGTGCACTGAGCTCCTAATACACCCCAGGCACCGTTTCCAGGTGCTGAGGGCACAGCAGTGAACAAGGCAGAAGTCGCTCTCATCCTCCTGGTGCTTGCCTTCCAGAAAGGAAAACACTTTACGGTAAGGAAGCAGGCAAGTGAAATGCTGTCGGATCGTGTCAAGTTTATGAAAACAACCACAAAAAGCAGAGATGGCAGATGACAAGGAGAAGGCCATCCAAAGATCCAAAGTGTGGGCATGGAGCTGAGACTCAAGGGAAATAGAGCCAATCATGTGAACGGCAGGGAGAAGGGCCTGCCAGAAAGAAAGAGAATCACGTGCAAAGGCCCTGAGGTCAGAAAGAGTACGAAAGACTGAAACAAGAGCCAGCAGGTGGCTGGAACGTAGTGAGAACAGGAGAGAGTGGTGGGTGCTGAAGGCAGACAGGGAGTTGGGGACCAAATTCTGCAAGGCCTTGAAGGTCATTAAAGGAGCTGAGTCTTTATCCTAATTGCAGTAGGACCCATTTTAAGGGAGTCAGTTGAAACAGACAATAGGAAAACATGGTCTCATGAAGAATGTCGGGTTCTGACCTATCCATCCAATTAGCACTTTCTCCTCCGCTTGCACAAAACTCAAGACAGTCGTAAGACAAGTCTTCTGTGCTCTTCCCATGTGGGGCCGGAAAGGCCTGGGATGGGGAAGACGACGGAGCACAGGGGGGAGGGGCAGATGTCGCCTCCCCAGCATCCACCTTCGTGTGCCCAGGGAATACATGTAAGCACAGGTGACGGGGGAGAAACGGGACAAGAGGGCAGTTAGGGAGGGCGGCTCCTGTCCCCACAGCCCAAGGAATATTTTAGAAGGACCCCAAAACCAAAAAGCCCTTGTGCTTCGGCATGGCGCAAGGCAGTGGGAACCATTCCCCCAAAGCAGAGGGGTAGGGCTGAAGACACGTCTTCTTGTGCCACTTGCCTCCCTGCCAGGCCGACCTCGTTTGCATCCCTGATGGCCTGAGATAACCAGCAGGCAGGTTTGTTCGGGATTATCCTTTTCCTTAATCCCCTTGTCCAGTGTCCTGAAATTTTCCTCTGGGTGATTGATGTTGTCTGTCTCGTTTTCTGCTTTGCCACGCTGGGTGAATCGCCCGACCCGGGCTTTCAGAGACAGACACTGGCCACACACATTGTCATCGGAGGTGAGAGTTCACCGGGGATCTTCAACACGCTGGGTGAGTCGGGGGGGGGGTCACCAGCCTCATCCCTGCACCAGCCTCCATCCCGGCCTCCCTGCTGCCACCCTGAGGGGGCTCCGCCCATTCTACACTCAGCAGCCAACACCAATTGTCACTTTTAATACAAATCGGATGGGGGCCACCCTGGTTCAAACCCTCCAATGGCTCCCCACTGCCTCCAAAGCCCTCTGTGTTCTGGTCCCCACCTGGCTCTTGGATGTTGACTCTGGCTCCTCTTCCTGTCCCCAGCTGAGCTCTGGCCACGCTGGCCTTCCCCACTCTGTGCCAGCCCCAACACAAGGCGTTTCCTCAACTCTCCCTGTCCCAGGTCACTCTGCCCAGACCTCTGCAAAGCTCAGTCCTTATTGCTCAGGTTGGGGCTCAAATGTCCCTCTTCAGAGGGGTCTTCCTGGCCCCCTGTGTCTAATAGGGTCTCCCCCACGTCTCGTCCTTCTCTGTCACAGCACTGGGGTTCGTTTATTTTTCCAGAGAACATATGTCCATTTGGAATGATCTTGCTCAAGTGCTCGTTTATCTGCTTGTGTTTACCTGTCTCTGCACTGAACCCCCCGCTACTAGAGACAAGTGCATTGTCGATTTTATTCCCTGATCTACCCCCAGTGCCTGGAACAGCACCTGGAACAAGAGAAGTGCTGAATAATTATCTGATGAATGAATGAATGAATGAATGAATGAATGAATGAATGAATACAGTCTGTGTTGTAAGATCAGTTCATCAAGCACATCTTAAAACACACATGCTTAGAAAAACAGCTCAAGCCAAACCACCTTGATTCCACAGGAATAAACTGGAGGTCGGGGAGAGGAGATAACTTCTCAAGGTCACACTGTGAGCGCATGTCCAGAACTCCAGTCCTCCTCGGCCAACCCAAAGTTCTTTCCCCTCCCAAAGGCGGTGTCTGGCATACAAAGATCTCCAAATTCATAACTCCTCCCTGGTCTCTCTTGCACTCCAAACCGCTCAGCTCTTGCCACCTGAGGGCCTACAGGCATCCCCAGCCAAGGACTCCACGTCCCCTGAGTGAACTGGTCCCTTCTGTGCTCACCACGCTGGAGAAGCTGCTCTCTGCCTCTCCTCTCTCACTCCGCCCCCTCCCCAGGTGATCTCATTTCTCTCATGGCTTCAGCTCTGATCCACAAGCCCAAGGCTCCCAAATCAGTTCTCCAGCCTCGTTCGGGATAAATAAAGCAGAGGGGCATCCCTAACGCTGACCGGCAGGTAGAGTGCACCATCTCTCCCCACGCCCTTCTCGTTCCTCCCCTGCTGGGTTTCCCATCACCTCTCTGCCGGTGGGGGCTCCACCCAGAACCGGACATCCTCCTCCACTCCCTCCCCGTCCCCGCCCACTCTGTGCGCAGCAGCCACAGCTAAGTTCTGCCAGTTCCTCTCGCTGCACCTGCGTGTCCAGTGCGCAGGTTGAGGCCTCGCAGGGGCACGTGGCTCAGGAGGTGAGTGGGGCCTCTGGCCCAGCCCAGAGCCCTGACACAGGGCTGCGCCTGTCTGGACAAAGGGGGTAGTACCTTTCTCTCATCTGTATAAAGGTACTCTGCTCCCCGTGTGGTGTGTCCATGGGGTTGAAGTCCTGGGGACCCAGGGATCTAAGGGGACTCTTCCCCTCGGTCCCTGCCACCACCACTACCTCACCAAGTGTCATCCTTTCTCACTAGACTGCAGCCTGGTGAGTAGTTTAGACCAGCACCTCCTGGCCGGTCTCCCAGCCTCTAGCCCGGCCTTCTCCGATGCATTCCCGGCCGAGAGCAGACAGAGCGCTTTTCCTGACGTGTGCAGCCAACTGCACTTCCCCCTTCCGTGACAGCCGCCCTCTGCCATCCCGTGCACTACCGCCAGTCTTGGGCTGTAACTTGGCATCAAGAGACCCCTTACCCAACCCGCACCTGGGACTAGACCCCCCAAGTCTGCCTCTCCCACAGCAGTGATTTCCTGCTCACCTGCTACCTCCCCAACTAGACCCTGGGGCCCTTGTAAGCAGGAAGAGGGTCTCTCCTCCATATCCCCAGTGCCCAGGCAAGTACTGCCACAGGGCACTGAGTAAGTGAACAAATGAGTGAAGAAATGAATGAATGCGCCATGAAGCTTCAGCTGCCCTTCTTGGTGATGCTGCTGGCTGTGATTAGTCCCATGGGAACGGCCGATGAGAGGGAAGGAAGCAGGATGGGCCTGTGGGCAGGGACATGGGGCAGGAGAGCAGGTCAGTTACCTCCAGCAGCGATCCCCAGCCCAGGGGTCAAGAAGGTGTGAGCAGCCGTCCCACGCGGGGTGCACCAGGCTGAAGAACTTCCTCCTGACAACGCTCCTCAGAGCTTTAATGTGTCAAGGAGAGTTGCCAATCTCCAAAGTACGAAACATGAATTTTCTCAATTCTAAAACATTTATAGCAAACACTTCTGAAATCAGCATGCATCTTACAACGGACATGCGTAATTTTTTTTTTGTTTCCAAACAGCTGTTATTAAATCGATGACGTGTCCTATGAGTCATGGGCTCTTGCAATCAAGGAAATACAACACTATGCATACAGCCACTCTATGCTCTGGATCATCCTTTGGTCCTGGCTTGTGCCTGTCATCCCAGGGTGACTGTTAATAGCTGCCCCTTGCACTCTCAAAGGTCCCAATTTGAGTAACATGTTACACGATCACCCGGACGACACAGCACGAACAGAGGCTGCCTTCAGGAGCCCCCTGCTCCAACGCGTGACCGGGATGCTTTATTTAGGAACCATCTGTCCTACAGCCTTTGCACATTTTCTCATACCCATCTGTCAAAACAAGCCACCGCATTTCAAAAGTCCTTTCCGGCTCCTTGACACAACTTCCCTGATTCTCCCCGGGTAGGCATGTGACGATGATAAGATAACCGAAGGTCTTTCTGCCAGCCCCTAAGCAAATGTTTCCAAACCTTCCCCAGAACCACAACCCCCTAAAGCCACAAGCAGACGCCCACAGATGCCCACAAGAGGTTCTTTTAAATTCTGAGTTTTAAAATGAAACACCTAGAATTTGCCATTTACGTGATGTATCTGAATGTTTATTTTTAACGTGAAACCTACACCTTAAATTAGCTGCCAAGGTAGAAAACTGAACCACCCAGAAGACGCTCTATGTTT